ATATTTTTTTTTATTATTATTATTAAACTGTGAATAATGTATTCACTCAAATAAATACAAAATATAATAAAATGAACATTAAGGTGCAGTATTTCGATTAACTGAAATAATCTGTATTTGAACTTTACTAGAACCTAAGCAGCCAGTTTGACATTATGACTTTCTTGTCATTGTATTTTCATGTTTTTTTAAAGAAAAATTAACTTGTCAACATTGCTTGCTGAAAGGGCAGATCTGCTGGCACTAACAATGTCTCCTGCTGTGGAGAACACCCTCTCGCTAGGGACAGAGGTAGCAGATACAGCCAGGTAGCGCTTTGCTAACATGGCAACATAAGGATATTTGGCGTTTGTAATGGCTTTGGCTCGGTCTGAACTTTTTGCGAGTGGTGGAGGCTTAAATGCTAGTGGGAGTTGGGTTACACTTCAGTCTTTTTTCTTTTGGTACCGGTGATATTCACGTTCGGGTGATGCTTCTGCGATACGAATATGTATACCGTTACACCCCTAATGGTCACACATGCAGAGGACACAGCACACACACAGTGAAAATGGCCTCTGCATTTAACCCATCCTAGTACCCATCTAGTACTAGGAGCAGTGGGCAGCTATTGTACAGCGCCCGGGGAGCAATGGAAGTGAGGGGGGAAGATGGATGTCCGGTGCCTTGCTCAAGGGCACCACGGCAGGGCCCAGGAAGGACCTCTCCAAGTAGCAGTCCACACTCCATATTTAGGTCTGGTCGGGGACTTGAACCAGCGATCCTACAGCTCCCAATCCAAGCCCTTACTGACTGAGCCACTGCCGGTCAATATGTTTTTGGCATTTTGAAAGAGAGCATGTCTACAGTAGATACAAGTTTATTCTATTGCTGATCAAATGATTTGTGCCGCACAACATAACAAAGTTTTAATCTTATCTGTTTCCACGTTGTTTGCGTCACCAGGGAAGAGCCTGAGGGTGCCGGAGAAGGTCCCCTTCAGGATGACCCACAACATAGAGACGGCTCTGGGAGTGACGGGGGTAGAGGGCATCTTCAGGCTGTCCTGTGAACAGGTAACTGTCCTTTCACACTCTCAGGCCCCATCAAACTCACACTGAACTGTGTTATAATTACAGTTCGGGACTTCATTGTTAAACCATTTGTGAACTTGCCGAAGCCAAAGAGTGTGCTTGGATTAGTTTTTGATGTTTTGTTTACTTGCATTTTAAGAAATGAAAACTTTACTGGGAATACAGAAAAGGAAATTCTGTCAAAATTTAAGAAATAACATTTCAAAAATGAATCATTTGTGGAAAACTGAGGAATGTTACCTTTGAGTTTGATTCAAAGTTTGCCACACATCTACTGAAAGTTCGTTAACGTTTTTTGATATCAGTAGTGTATCTTTTTGGGCTTCAACTACTTTTTTAGTCAACTTGTCATCTATAAATGTAAATGTCCTGACATCATCCCTTGGTATTGTAAATAAATCAATAATCTTCTCCCTTGTACTTGGACCTTCCTCAGGAGAATTGCATATATTGAATAGTTTGACACGCTCTCCATCTATCTGTCCTTTGTCACACACTGGGCACCTCAGATGGGACGTGGTAATGACCTCTTCTCTCGATAGGAGGAAGAGAAACCTGTGCAGTAAACAGCTAATATTGCATGTTCTGGTTTCAATGATTCATCTTTAGTTTTCATCTCTAACTTGAATGTTTACTGGCTCTTGCTAAATGTTTCTGGAGTGCTGAAGATGATGGTGTGATTCCAGGTGGTGCAGATGATGCGTCGGGGTAGAGAGACCCTGCTGACCCTACTGGAGGCCTTCGTTTACGACCCCCTGGTGGACTGGACGGCCGGGGGGGAGGTGGGCTTCGCTGGCGCCGTGTACGGAGGAGGAGGCCAGCAGGCTGACAGCAAGCAGAGCAAGAGGGAAATGGAGAGAGACATCACCCGCTCCCTGTTCTCCTCCAGGGTGGCTGAGATCAAGGTGAGGTCCAACAGGAGCCGAGTGTATGAATGAGTCCTCCACTAAAGAGGGGACCATCTGAGTACGGAGATAAAAGTACAACACTCATCGGCAGCAACATCCAGTCTCTGCCCGGCCCATCTACTCATTGAAATGGTCTTTGTTATAATAAAGAAAGACACGGCATGAACACGCTTCTATTCTCATTTCTACATTGACGTCACCAGCGCTATGTAGACTCATGCCTTAAGAGTGTGTGTGTTCTGTGTGCAGGTGAACTGGTTTAAGAATCGAGACGAGATGCTGGCCGTGCTGCCGCAGGTGGAGGAGGCTGTGGAGGAGTACTTAGTCCTGCAGGAACTTCTCTGCCAGGGGGAGAAACTGCAGGCAAAACTACAGGAGGAGATGGCCTTCCTTGAGGGGGCCGAGAACCATCAGGACCACCTGATCCTCACCCTGGAGCACAGGTCTGACACCACAGCACGTTAATGTGTTAATACTATATTCCAAATCCATGTTAGATGAATCTTTAAGTCATTTTCCATTCAGATTGTAGGACATTTAAAAAAACATTAAGGTTAATATGTCCCCTCAGTCCAGGGGAGCAACTCATATGAGTGTATTCTGAAAGGGTATTTACCCCCCGTCTTCCTCCCCACAGGTACTCTGAACACACCCAGCTGCAGTCGAGGCAGCGCACCGTGCAGGAGGCCATCCAGAGCAAGCTGTCGGACCTGGACCAGTGGATCTCTCAGTACCAGGCGGCTTTCTCCAACCTGGAGGCCACCCAGCTGGCCAGCCTGCTGCAGGACATCAGCAGCCCCATAGATCTGGGTCAGTCCCACAGGAAGTGATGCAAGCAGGCGGAATGGATCAACTTGTTAAAAATGTGCAATTTCTTAAAGGGGACCTATCATGCAAAATGCACTTTTGTACGTCTTTTATACATGAATATATGTCCCCGGTGTTCCAGGGAACTCACCAAGTGTCAGAAAACACAACCCTCTCTATTTTCCTCCATACCCAAATCTCAAAAAAAGGGGCTGCAACGGATCTGATAAAAACGGATCCAGATCTGAACACTTTACTGACGTCAGTAAAGTGGCACTACGGCTATTGGTCAATTCTCCACCTATCAGGGGAATGAGAGGTTGGGCCACGGCCGGCCATTGCTGCTCGAAAGCGCTGGAGACGCTGTAGTACATATGCCAGGCCTGTAAGTGGCGCTGTAGTCTGCCACAAAAGCAGCGAAGAAGACTTCCCTTGCATGGTTGCCATGGTTGCCCTTCTGTTTATTCTCCGCTGTGGCTCTTTTTCTCCCTCCCCGAGGCAAGCGTTTGCGCCTCCTGTTTTAAAACAAATGAATAATGACTCTATATAATCATATGTAAGGGATAATGTGCAGCGACGCGGTCATTATGGGGAAAAGAACACCGACAGGCTGATCAGGAGCCCTACGCGAAGCGGAGGGATCTAGATCGGCATGAAGGGACATTATGCAATGTGCAATGTGCACATTATCTTACATTAACTTATTACATGGCCACATTCTCAACAAAGTGACGATATGACTCCCAATATTAATTGAGATGCTCTTATGGATTTAGAAAATGATTTTATTGATTTAAAAAATAGTTGTATGTATTGATTTAAATTGACATGCATCCGCTAAGAAAAATAGTCCGTTGTTACTGTTTTTTAAACAGTCTGAAAATGAAACGACAGCTCTCAGCTCTGTTTACACACCTAATGGCCCATCAGGCACAGCTCTCTCTCTCCCCCCCCCCATGATCTTACAGCTACACCATTGTTTGGTTTCCATGGTACCGCGTCTCTTTAGTAGCGCG